ATATTGTAAAGGAGTTTTTTAGTAGCAGTGAGCTTAGTTTGCCCTGTTTGGATAAGAACTCATAGCTATTCCATAGATGAGAGTTTTATTAATATTATTTTTTAATAAAAATGATAACACAAGTGTTTATATATATTATTTTATTATACAGTGTCCTAAAAGCAAAAAAACCTAATTTTTAGTTTTTAGTTCATCAGAAACTGAACATTAGAAATGATAGTGATTTTATGAAATTCATTTTCCTTGGACAGAAACAAAATGACAGAACTGAATGAGCATTTATGGTCTTTTAAATGTTTAGCACTAGCAGGTAACCTATTTCAGAGGCAAGGGAAAGGAAGAATACTGTATTTGGAGTTCAGAGGACTGGATTTAAGTCAGTAGCTCTGTGACCCTGAGCAATGCGCTCTACTTCTTGATACTCATTATTCTACCCTGGAAAATAGGGATAATGATGCTTTCTTACCACCCAGTGCTGGTTTTAGGAGTCTCACTTGAGACAATGGATTTAAAATGTTCTGTACCATACATTAGAAAACTAAAAGTGTTCATTCTTATTGAGGAATCAAGCAATATAGGTAGAACTATAATATAAGCTTAACAAAGGGTTAAGTTCTAAATTCAGAGCATGAGGTAAAAAATTACATACAGTCAAAATAACTCTTACAAGTCTCTAAATTGATATAAAGAATAGTACGTATTATTTTGTCTATACAACCCTGAATAGTAATCTATATAAGTGCATAAGGTATATAGTAGTATATAGTAGTGTACTACATATATAAAGGGAACATATCCAAAATGATTTTACAATACTTATTTTTAGGTGAGAACAATACAGATACATACTTACAAGTTAAATATGCCTAAGACTCCTCTATATCATAACAATTAGGAGTAAGACAACCTATGAAAAAAATACACCCCAGTGTAGTGGGAACAGCAGACATTGGCATTGGAAAAAACAGCTAATAGGTGTTAACTCAAAGTGAGCATAGTTCAGAGTTAGCAAAATGTGGCAGCAGTGTTTGTTTGGTTAGAAAAGATTTAACATTTTAAAATTTGAATCCTTTCCTTTGGGCATTCATTCTCCAGATACTTACCACTCCTTGTTGCTTTATACCCATTTATTCCACATAAATCTGCTTGGGGTCCTTAAAGACACTTTAACCCTGCACCTTTGACTCCTTGTTTATCCAAAGAAAGGTGAAGCTGAGGAAATTAATCTCGAGATTGAATGTTAAATAAGTGATAAATATGGATTGGTAAATTAGTGTTTGGGAAGTTATGCCAGGTTGAAGGCACAGGAAGGAGATAGAAAGTGTTTGCAAAACAAACAAAAATGGTTAATAGCTGAGGCATTTTGAGGAGGTAGTAGAAGTTGAAATTGGTTGGTCCTATAATGGTGTGTTTTCTATTTAGGAGTTTGCTTTGTTTTGATAGATGGTGGGGAAGAACTCACCGAGAGTGGTGTAAAGAGAGGTTCTGCTAGCTATTTGAATGATTTGAAAGGATTTGATGGAAAGGAGGAAAGCCTTTATCTAGTTGCAAGGTGATAAGGGCCTGGCTTTCAAAGTAGAGATTAAGAGCTTAATTTGAGGAAGTCTGGGGCAGACAGGCCAGAGTGATGACTGGGAACCCTGGAGCCACCCTGGCATCATTTTTCTTTGGCGCCTGATATTCAAGCTTTCAGCACATCTTCTTATTCTTCCTAGGAATTGTTTGTTCTGTCCACCATCTTCAAGTGCAGCCATACTAACTTAGACCTTTGTCACCACTTCCAGAGTATTTCTAAAGCATCCTCTAGAGCTGTTCCCTAGTCCATTTCTTTAGCCCCAACATAACCAGATCCAAGTTCTCTTTATCTATCTTGCACATAACTGAAAGAGATGCCTTCCCCCAAAACACTTATTTCAGCAACTCACTTTCTCATTCAGGAAACTGGGAGAGCCTTTGTTTATCATACCAAAGGCAAGACTTAAAGGTCCATCAGTGAAGGGGTAAGGAGGGGATTAGGCCAAGATTATCTCACTGGGTGATAACTTTTTAAAATTATTTATTTGTTTTGAGACAGGGTATCTCTGTGTTGCCTAGGCTGATCTCTAACTCTTGGCCTCAAGCCATCCTCTCACCTCAGCATCTTGAGAGGCTAGGACTACAGGCATGAGCCCGCACCCAACTCAGATGATGAGCTTTTTGAATAGACATCCTTAGGTCTGAAATTTCAATTATTGTCCTATTTATTCCGTAGCAGATAGAAACTAAAAATGAAGACAAATTTTAAGGATAAGGAATCTCCAGGCCCAGTTCTTATCCTTTCCATTGTATTTCAAATATGAAAGAACTCTGTACACACCTGGACAGCCCTCTGCCCATTCTTTTCTTGCTTTTTCCCTCAGGGCACTCTCTTTCCCTGAAGTTTATCTTTTCTAAACTGCTACTTAAGGTCCACCTTTTTCATTAAACCCTTTCACTTTTCTAGTATCTATTCTAACCCATACTCTCCTCTCCTTTTTGAGAATTCTTACTCTACTTCCTAGTAGTACTTTGCCTAGCACTTATTCATTCTCAAATTTCCCCCTACCCAAATGTGAACTCCCTGGCATGAGGGATCAGACCCCCAAACTCTCAAATATCCTATAGCAGATGTGTGTGGAACATAAGGCAGTAGAAGACAAGCATTTGAACCTTTATCATCATGGCAAAATAGAAAGGTTGAGTCCTGGGTTCTGGTCCTAGCTTAGCTATTAATGGAATACAGGGCTTGTGGGAGTTGGGCATCAACTATATTATCTCTAACTATATTCCTCTTCTGGAATTAAAATTCTGTGATTCTAGTGACATATAATTGACAAATAGAATATGGTGGGGTGAGGAGAAAGAAGAGGCTATACATACATTAATTCTAAGGTGGTAAGCCTGGGGAACTAAAAAGATAGAAGTGCCATTACCAGAAAAGTAGGAAATAGGTACCAGTTTAGTTGAGTAGGCTGGGGGCGGGGGGGGAGTTTAGTGTTTGCCAGTTATTGAGAGTTCCTTGTCATTTATGAGTTTCTAATGCAAAATGTCCTATAGGTAGTAGTAAGTAGCTGGCTGAGGAGAGATGCCAATTGAGGAATGGAGAAGAGATTCATTCAGAGTTACTGTCCAACAGGTTCCATGAGCCTCCAGATGAAGTAGATCTAGAAGGAGGAAAGGAAGGGCACTAGCTTTTGAAATGAAATCAAAGAGCTGGGAGGACTTGTTTCTCTAAGTGCAGAGAAAAGGTTATATCCAGTAGAGAAGTCAGCAATTTGAAAACTGAGAAAAACTTTACATTTATTTGACCACAAAGAATTGATGAACTTGATGGAGAGAGAATTTCAACTTTAAGTGGTGAGCTGAAGACAGCCACCGGGTTGCAAGAAGTCAAGGAGGGAATTAGAACCAGTCTCCAAGGAGATGTTCAGTGTTTGTGATTTGAAAGGAGATTCAGGAGGCAGGGCTGATGGATGAAAATATTTTGAAAATTGGAGCCTGAACCTATATTACCTAAATTGTAAGGCCACTCTACTTTCACACAAAGAGGAGCTTGCCAGGTTTCTGTGGGCATGCTTTTATTACTTCAAGAAGAATAAGTTTAGTCATGGAAAGTAGTTTTAGGGTAGAGTTTTCCCCCTAGAGAAAGTTAATTTATATTTTATATTTTCATAAAAGGTCATGAGTTAGAATGAAATATCACTAAAAATTGGTTATTAAAATGTCAAGCACAACCTTTTTATTTTTCCTTTTTTTAAAAATCCACTTCTCCTACACCAACAAATTGAATTTGTTACCCAGTAGTATTTGATTCTGCTAGTAATCCTGAGGTTAAATGATCTTCTTATGGTGGTAGGACAATAATAACAGTGTCCATAATGTCTTCTCCAAGAAGATGTCTGTTTATTCATTTTTGTAAATAATAAGATGATTAATGTTACCACTTGATTTTATATTCAGGTAGTCTATCTTTTAAAGAAGTATTTATCATCTCCTTGTTTCTCTTTAGTTTATTATAATCCTGATTAGTGAATTTTTACATCTGCAGAGAAGTTTTGGGAAGTAAGTGGAAGTAATAGGTGATACACCCTGACTGATAGAAGGGACATGAGAGTGCCTTTTTAATATTTGGGGTAGAGGTGAGACCAGAAAGCACTGTTTTTATTTATATACATTGGATTTGGATATGAAAGTGTGAAGAATAGTTTATAGGCTGATGTTTTACTATTAAACATTATCCAAATCGGATTTCCTCCTGGATTTCTGTTAGCAATTTGTAAAAGCGTTCACATACACAAACATACTGGTGACTTTGATACTGAAAATCATGCCAGAGACTATGGCTGATATTTACAATTACAGCTTTTCTTCCAAATGTACAACTCTATGATAGAATATGGAAATTATGAAGAAAACAAAGCTCATAATAAAACAGAAATATTTTCTGGAAATTTTGTTCTCCTAGTAAGATTCTTATGAGAAAATTGTCAACTTGTTTGAACCTCAACAAAAAAACAGTCTCTGGTAAAATGTGAGAAAATGGAAAGCCACAGTTCATTCTCAAATATTTTAATTTTATATTTCTAGCATCCTGTTAGGGTTGTACAAAGTTCCTCCAATTATCTCTTCCCTCTCCCCACCCCTAGTAAAAATATACCAGGAAACTAAGCACCAATATGCTTTTTTAAATGTAAAATTGAATTAGTATACTAATAAATTTTTTGCCAAATCATGTCGGTTTCAAATACATGATTAACTACACTGCCAAAAAATACCTTTTAGTTGTGTAGTTCAGAGAAATGTAAACAGTGTGATATTGTTCATCTCAGGCATCTTAATATAACGACATGTAAAAGCATATAATGAAAAGGGAGTTTCACACATTATGGTGCTGCAAATACAAAGATTTAAAGTTTAAATATTTAGTTCTGTATCATCGTAACCAACGTTTACCTGTTTCTCTCTCTCATTTCTTTTCATAGAATTTAATTCCTTTTCGACCTTCGATTCAGTTCCAAGGACTCCAAGGGGTGAGTACTCTTATTAATTTAGCAAGAAAATCTAATATTCCTAGATGCTATTAAACTTTAAAATTTGTTTTCACCTAAGCCTCTTAATATAGTCAGCCACTCATATTTTGTGAACTTTGTGACTAAAAATTTCTGACATCTTTAAGATGCTTGAATTATCTTCATTTAAAAATTAATTCAGATTTAGTTATTGATATTGAGAGTGTTTTTTTTTTCCAACACATGGATAATTGCCTGTTTAAACTTTTTTTATTGAATTATATCATACATCATGGTATTACGTGAATATGTTTTGTTTACAACTAAACATTCCTAAGGAATTACTGATTTCAGGCAAGTTATGATTGTGATTGTTTTTACACCAAAACAAAACAAAAATTTGCTGTCTGTACACTTAGTTTTTTAAATTGTATGTACTAGGAAATGAAATGTATAAATAGAAATAGTTTTTCTAGGGCTCAGAAAATACAAAGTATTCTGTCTATTTTTTTGCTGCATTTAAAAGCATAATAAATGATAACTCTTAATAAAATAGACCTATGAATTTTGTGTTTATAATAGATGATAAACTTTACAGGAATAGAATCAGTATTTTTTAAATTATTACTATTAATATTTAATATTCATTACATAGACACAATCATTCTTTTTTGTATTCTCACTTAAATTAATATGCATTTCTATATTTGTCTTTATATACTGGCTATAGTATAAAAATTTAGAATATCTGTATATGTATTTTAGGGCTATAAATAAAAGGCAGGCTGAGAGAGAAGGATTATATTCTTTTTTTTAAAATGAAGTAAATTTACCAAATATTCTTTTTTTTTTTTAATTTCAAAATATTATGGGGATATAGATGTTTTTGGTTACATGGCTCGCTTTTGTAATGCTCAAGTCAAAGTTAAAACTGTGCCCATCACGCAGATAGTGTTTATTTTAGGTAGGTTTTCATATATCCCATCCTCCCCCTTCTCCACTACTTGATTTCCTTTGAGAGTTACTTCCCTCTGTGCATATGCGTGCTTATCAGTTACTTCCAGTTGAATAGCGAGTACATGTGGTATTGTTTTTCCATTCTTTAGATACTTCACTTAGGATAATGGTCTCCAGTTCCATCCAAATTGTTACAAAAGGCGTTAAGTCATTCTTCATGGCTGAATAGTACTCCATGATATACATATACCACATTTTGTCAATCCACTCATGAATTGATGGGCGTTTGGGTTGATTCTACATCTTTGCAATTGTGAATTGTGCTGTAGTAAACATTGGAGTGCAGGTGTCTTCTTGATAAAATGACTTCTTTTCTTTTGGGTAAATATGCAGTAGTGGGATTGCTGGATCAAATGGTACATCGATTTTTAGTTCTTTGAGGAATCTCCATACTGTTTTCCATAGAGCTTGTACTGATTTGCAGTCCCACCAACAGCATACAAGCATTCCTTTCTCTGTATATTCACACCAGGATCTATTGTTTTTGGACTTTTTAATAAAAGCCATTCTTACTGGGGTAAGGTAATATCTCATCGTGGTTTTATTTATTTATTTTTTATTTTTTTATTTTATTTTTTTATTATTTTTTCATTTTTTTTTTCTTCTTCTTTCACTTCCAAAGACTTCTTCCATCACACTCATTGTAGTTTTGATTTGCATTTCCCCGATGATTAGTGACATTGAGCATTTTTTCCATATGTCTATCGGCCATTTGTCTATCTTCTTCTTTTTTTTTTTTTTTTTTTGAGACAGAATTTCACTCTTTTGCCCTGGCCCAGAGTGCCATGGCGCCAGCCTAGATCACAGCAACTTTAAACTCCTGGGCTCAAGCAATCCTTCTGCCTCAGCCTTCCAAGTAGCTGGGACTACAGGCCTGTGCCACCATGCCCGGCTAATTTTTTCTATTTTTGGTAGAGATGGGGTCTAGCTCTTGCTCAGGCTGGTCTCAAACTCCTGAGCTCAATAAATCCTCCTGCCTCAGCCTCCTAGAGTGCTAGGGTTATAGAGGTGAGCCACCATACCCAGCCTGTCTATCTTCTTTGAGAATCTTTTGTTCAGAGTCTTTTGCATACTTTTGAATGGGGTCATTTGATTTTTTTTTCCTTGGTGATTTGCTTGAGTTCTTTGTAGATTCTAGTTATTTGTCCTTTATTGGATGTATAGCTTGTGAATATTTTCTCCCATCCTGTATGTCGTCTGTTTGTTCTGTTGATTATTTCCTTGGCTGTGCAGAAGCTTTTTAATTTAATCAAGTCCCATTTATTTTTGTTGTTGCTGTGATTATCATAGGGGTCTTCTTCATAAATTCTTTGCCTAGGCTGATATCTAGAAGAGTTTTTCTAACATTTTTTTCTAGAATTCTTATGGTTTTATGCCTTATATTTAAGTTCTTTATCCATCTTGAATTAATTGTTATGAGTGGTGAAAGAGAGGGATCCTGTTTCGTTTTTCTGAATGTGGCATCCAATTTTCCCAGCACCATTTATTGAATAGGGATTCTTTCCCCCAGTGTATATTGTTGTCTGCTTTGTCAAATATCAGTTGGTTGTATGTGGATGGTTTTCTCTTCTATTCCATTGGTCTATGTCTGTTTTTGTTCCAGTAACATGCCATTCTGGTAACTACTGGCCTTGTGGCATAGTTTGAAGTCTGGTAATGTAATGCCTCCCAGTTTGTTCCTTTTGCCTAAGATTGCTTTGGCTTTTGGCGCTTTTTTCTACACAAAGTGTATAATTATTTTTTCTGTTAATAGATCTGTGAAATACGATGTTGGAATTTTAAAGGAGATTGCATTGAATCTGTAAATCACTTTGGGTAGTATGGACATTTTAACAGTGTTGATTCTACCAATCCATAATAAGCATGATGTTTTTCTACTTGTTTGTATCATTGGCAGTTTCTTTCCTCAGTGTTTCATAGTTCTCTTTGTAGAGATCTTTCACTTCCTTCATTGAGTGTATTCCTAGGTATTTTGTTTTCTTTGTAGCAATTGTGAATGGTATTAAGTCTTTGATTTGACTCTCAGTTTGACTGTTTTTGGTGTACAGAAATGCTACTGATTTGTGTACATTGATTTTGTAACCTGAGACCTTGCTGAATTTATTTATCAATTCCAGGAGTCTCTTGGTGGAATCTGTGTATAAGATCATATTATCTGCAAAAAGCCAGTTTGACATCCTCTTTCTGGATTTGGATACCCTTAATTTCTTTGTCGTGCCTGATTGCTCTAACTAGGATTTCCAGCACTATGTTGAATAGAAGTGGTGACAGTGGACATCCTTGTTTCAGTTCTTAGTGAGAATGCTTTCAACTTTTCCACCAAATAGTCTTAAAGCACCAAATTACATATTTATACCATAATCAACATGTTATGCTTATTTTAAATATATTTTTAATATTATACTTGTTTTAAATTTTAAAATACTTTAATTCTTTAGCATTTATTCTTATATAAAAGTTTTTATTTTTAATTAATATTGGTACATAATAGTTGCATGTATTTCTGTAATACGTGTGATATTTTGATACAAGCATACAATGTCTAATAATTGCACATTTAGAATTATATTCTTAACTTGTAAATCTGCATACTTGTGAATTTTTATTTAGTTATGTCACTATGCAAAAATGTCAATATAAATAAATACAATCTTTCTAAACTTTATAACATTGAAAACTTGAAAACATTTCAAGAGTCAGATTAATTACATCATTCAGCATGCACTAAGAGCACTTCTAAATCTGTTGTGTAATGCTAACTTGAAGGAGATGCTTGTGTGGATGTCAGAGCTTTGCTTCTACATGACAACTTTACAATGAAGTCTTTTTATCCCTCCTCAGTAACTGAGTGTTCTTGAATGGTATCCTAATTGGACTAAGTGTTCTTCTGAATGTTGTTGTATAGCTTTTTAGGTAGATATTAGCACATGCTGATTCTCTATTCAAGGAGTTAGTTCAGTTGTTTATTTAAAGTTTCTTGAGTTTTCCTGCCAATTTTAATGGCTTCAGTAATATCCAAAGGGATGTTCCAGAGGCAAAGCTGCCTTTCCAGAGGCAAAGCTGAGTCCATGAGCCTTGGAAAGCTCCATGGATTTTCACCACTGTGTTATCTGAGGGGAGAACACTGGGGAGGATGATAAAGTGTGAGCTGTTTCTCTCTCTCTAGGAGATAGAGGGTTATCTCCTTGTTCTGTATGTAGCTCTTGCTTTTCTCCTAATTCTATCTCCCATTTGGGACATCAAGGCCAGGGAAGTGCAAGTAAAGGGCATTTTCTTAGGAGGCACCAAGTTAGACTGAAAGACTAAATGATGGGGAACTAATCTGTGCAGGCTTCCCAGCTCTCCATTCTGACCCCTGTGGCTTTTAGCAAGTATGGTTTTCCCAAGTATACCAGTTGCCACCGAGTCCTAGGCATCTTTGCAAAGCAGGCAGTCTGTATTTGAGCCCTTGGGCTGCCTTTTTTGAATTCTACCTACCTCCCCTACAGGTTTCCTGTCCCCATGTATCCAAGCTCCCCCGCTCATCTTTGCCTAGTCTAGTTTCTCTTCTTACTCTATTCCTTGCCATAATAGAGTTAACTGATGGAAGTAATTTAGATATAAATGGCTGATAGATTTAAATCTTACTGAGTGTTTGAATTTTAACAGAGAAACTTTTTAACCCAAATGAATGGTGATTGAATTTGGTAGAGTAGCTGAGAGGTAGCAGTGCTGCAGACTGAGAACTATGGGATGCTTGGCCCTACCTTGCTTATTCCGGTCTGTCTCCTTAACCCCCTACGCTTTTTATTATTCTAACTGAGAACAAAATGTATGGACTCAGCATTGTTTTAGAGCCTGCAGCTGCATTCCATCCACCCCTCCCCCCTTGTCTTTGCCAGCTTTCCCCAGCCCTTTGGGACTTAGTAAAAACAAAGAGTCATTACAGGGGAGAGAGTGGGTTGGCACAGCCCACAGGGAATACTCAGAGCCACAAATGTGAGGGTCTTCTCTACAGTGCTCCT